ATTAAGCTCCTACACCCTTGCTTTTTGTTCAATCCATCTCCAAGTTGAGATTTTGCTCAGAAAAGCAACAGACACATAAAGTAAATAGAATTTCACTCAATTAATCAATATTTAAGCTAGTTTAAGAGCCTATATAAGTAAAACACACGAGACTTGTACTACTGCTAGTACCAAGGAAAACTATATACTTAACTACTCAAACAAACAAGCAAAAAAAAGGAGCTAGCTAGATATTAAACCATGACAATTCCATATTCAAAGTTGTATAATTTATAATAAGCTTCCGAATAACGTCACGATTTTTTTTTTTAAATATCACATGCTCAACAGGTTGTGTGTGTGTGTGTATAAATAGCCATATCTAATTTTCACTCAAGTCTAGTCAAGATCGCATAAAAGAATAAATTTTTCAAATTCGTTCAATCCGCACCTTCAATAGTCAATTTTTTTCCTTTTCCATTTGCTAGATGCACACCCAAAAATTTGATATTTATTCTTTCTCGTGATATTATTTTTATAGGTTACTCTCAAGTCACTCTTTATGTCATGCTTAAATTTGGTTGGATGAAATCCATGAAAGCAACTAATTAGACATACGAAGATTCTCCATAATTTTAAATGTTCAAGCCTTCAATTTCTACTAAGCAAGATAAATTCACTAGTTATCTTAGTCCTCATATTTGTGTCGAAGGCTTAGCTAGGAACTGCAACACTTATTTTTTCATGCTACTACTTTCTATATTTCTTTCCAACTTTTTTTTTTCTTTTATTCTTTAAAAGAAAAAAAAAACGCTCGAGGTTAGGTAGCCCCGCACGAACATCAATGTTGTATTTTTACCAATGCAGATCGCTTCTTCCTATACTCTTACCTCTTTACTCCTAATAGTTGAGATTATATCCCTAACATTAGTCAATATCTAGTTTCCACCCGTTAGTCAAAATCACTCCACTCATTCAATTCAGGCAAAAAATCAACACGTATCCTACTAAATACTTTTATAAATTCATTCACCTCAAAACTATTCTCATATATAGGTAAAGTGATTGATCTTTTAAGATAAGTTCATAAAATAAATTGAAACCTAATTGTACCAACTTAAGCAATTCAATCTTCTTCGCAAAATTCTCAAACCTAAGTGATAAGTAAAAGTGGCTACATGCTCAATAATAGGGTCTTATACAGATAAGCATGGTATGAAAATAAGCACAAATAGGCCCATTCGGTCACATATCACAAATCAACACAATTTTTCAAACATAAATTCATCATTTTCGACAAGGTTATCCAGCTAAGTAAAACACAAACATATTCTTTTGAATTTTTAATTTTTGAGTTTTTGTAAAATTTTACTTTTTTAATGGATTTTTAATTATATGAAAGCAATAAAAGCATGAGAAAACAAAAGATGACTCACAGATTAGACTATACCCCAACTTAAAGATTCATAGTCCTCAATTTAATCACAAACTGTAGCCTAAGGACGGATAGCAATGCTCAACATGTTATATGTTGATGTCATCCCTTTCTCCTCTTTTAGTCTCCTTTATTTGATCTTAAAGTTATTTCCATTATACCTTTAAAAAAAATATATGAAAACATTAGTTACAAATTGATTTGTTAGTTGCAGAAAGAAGAACATGGAACCACGTGGAGCATATGGGTACTTATTTTGGTCACCTTGACTCAAAGTTTTTCTAAAATCCTAAAAACGTAATAAAAATAAAATAAAAAATCCAAGCTAAAAAGAGACCATTAGCGTTTGTTTAAAGTGTTTAACTTTTAGCAAAAATAAAAAAATAAAAAAATTTCAAGCACTTTGAATAGGAATTTGAAGGTCTTGCTTTGTTTCCATTGATTGACTTTCTAAGATTTTCATTTAGGGTAAATATATTAACAAAATAGTTTTTATTAATCACACCATATTCTAATTACAATATAGGTCCTTAACTTTTGCTCATTATGTCATCTATGTCCTTAACTTTTTCTTTGTGTCTAATCTCAAACTTATTTTAATTAGTACATCTTTTCCTTAATGATGTCAAGAAAAAATCGTTAGAATGGAGTAAAAAGACATTTTCTTTTTGTACTTTTAAATATGCAAGATAAATAAAAAATACATAAATTTGACTTTTATTGAATAGGCAAGATAAACTTAAAATACTTAATTTTGGCAAAATAATTTTTCCACGTATAAGAGACAAATGTTAATTAATTGAAGTTTAAAGACAAAAATGTGACGAAAAACGGTGGAGATATAAGTGCAAAAATAAGTAAAATTTCAAGACTTTCATTACAATTACCCTTTTGCTTATCCTCCAAGATTCAACTTTGCCCTTCTCGCGCAAATATTACTTGACCCAATCACTTGATTTGAACTTACTATGATTACTTTAACTTCCTCATCAAATTCGATCTCAAAAGTCAACTTTTAGAGCAACCTCTGCTGTAAGAGGATTGCTTGATAGTTCCGTCATCATTGAATGTCGCTTTTTGTGTTGCTCCTTTAAGGTAAACTCCTATTTCTCGGGTTGCTTTTCTTCTTTTATGCTTCCTCTGGTTAAATGATCGATCTATTATTCAAATTTTGGGCAAATGCATAATGGCATCTTCAAGGAAACTCCTCCTCTCTAGCTGTGGTCGTTGGAAGCTAAGTAGAAGTGATTTCCATAATTTTCCCAAGAACAAGTCATACCAGTCAATTTTTAATGGAACAAATAATTCAATGGGCAAGTCATCCTCATCAATTCCTAGTGTGGGATAAAATCCAAAGAGAGTAATTTTCGTCAATTTTTCGTGGGACAATTATTTCCATGTGCAAGTCATCCTCAATAATTCCATCAAAGCATATCGTGCTATTATAGCTCGTAGTTGTTGCCTTATGGTTGAATTTCTCACTAGCATGTCTTCTTCAAATTTGTGGTCTGACATCTCATGTTGTTTTGTCATTCCTTCCCTTCTCTTTGTTCCCTGCTAGCAATGAAATCAAGAAAAACAAGTATATTATCTGAAAAAGAAATGAATTAAAGCTAAAATTAACTAAAGCAAAAAAGAAAATAAAATAATCCCTTACAATGACGTTAAAACTTATTTTCGATTTTATCCTATAACAAGTAATATAATAATTAGTACAGTGTCAAATCTACAATGACTGTTATATAATTATTTATTTTAAATAAAATTAGTTTTAACTAGGGATGAACACGTTTCGATTTGGACGATTTGAGACAAATTTTCAAACCAAACCATTTAAAGCGGTTTGGAATTTTTCCGAACCAAATCAAACCATTTCAATTTCTAAACCAAACCAATCCA